GGCCACGAGGTGTCCAAACCTCAAGCCTGAGAGTGAGAACACGTTCACATGTTACTGAGCAAACTGGAAGATGGGGTTTTTTTTAAGTAATACTGAAACATACATGGACAACTCCACAATCTTTACACTAATTCCTCATAGCCCCCCCCCACCTTGTTTCAGGCCCGTAGCTAACATGGGGCCCACGGGGCCCGCCCCCCTTGTGTTTCTTCTGGGCCCCCTCCCTCCAGGGCTGCCCCCAAAGTGCTCCAACTTACCACCTGCACTGTACTTCCATTTAATTAGCTGGCGGGCCCCCCCAAGGCCCCCTCCCAAAGAATTCCCTAGCTACGGGGCTGCCTTGTTTGCTTATAGATTTTAAACAGCTTGTTGATTTGGTAAATTAATATTAATTACATAAACGCTCTCACCATCATTCAGCAAAAGAGCATGCAATGTGTCAGCAGGAGACAGTTCAGGCCTCAGACGGAGTCTCTGAGTCTGCGCCGATGTGAGCTGGATCTGGCCCCGAGCCACAGACGGAGACATATACAGTTCAGGCTGACTGGTGGCCGGTTCAACTGATTCCAGCCCGCCGGTGTCTCACCTTGATGTGCTGGCGTATCTGTGCTACCAGGTTATGGCACTGCTGGCTGAGCAGACACAGGAGCATGGGGCAGGCAGGGAGGCTTAACAGATGATATCAAATATCAGGTATGCGAGAAGAAACGTATCTGGGGCTGGGTTCTCATAGGAGTCTTTCCCAACACCTCTCCTCGACCTTCACATAAGAACATAAGAGAACATAAGAGATGCCAATGTTGGATCAGGCCAAAGGCCCATCCAGTCCAACACTCTGTATCCCACAGTGGCCAGAAATACCAGTGCCATCAGGAGGTCCACCAGTGGGGCCAGGACATTAGAAGCCCTCCCACTGTTGACCCCCCCCAAGCACCAAGATGACAGAGCATCACTTGCCCCAGAGTCCCTATCTATACCTTGTGGCTAATAGCCACTGATGGACCTCTGCTCCATATGCTTATCTAATTCCCTCTTGAAGCTGCTACCAGGTTATGGCACTGCTGGCTGAGCAGACACAGGAGCATGGGGCAGGCAGGGAGGCTTAACAGATGATATCAAATATCAGGTATGCGAGAAGAAACGTATCTGGGGCTGGGTTCTCATAGGAGTCTTTCCCAACACCTCTCCTCGACCTTCACAATGAACAAGTAGCATCTTAGACTGTTTCAGAACACTTCTCGCCAGAGGAGGGCCTATGACAAACTCAATACCAATCAATTTATGTCGCCTCCTACGGAAGCGAGCGAGCTGCGGTGGCTCAAGTGGTTAAGATGCTGAACTGCAGGCTGTGGAAGGTCGGTAGTTCAGCAGTTTGAGACCCGAGTGTGCCGCATGACAGAGGGAGCTCCCGTCTCTGGTTCCAGCTCCTACCAACCTAGCAGTTCGAAAGCAAGACATTGCAAGTAGATATATAGGGACCACTTCGGTGGGAAGGTAACAGCGTTCCGGGCGCCTTGGTGTTTAGTCATGCCGGCCACATGACCACGGAAACATCTTCGGACAGCGCTGGCTCTTCGGCTTTGAAACGGAGATGAGCACCGCAACCCTAGAGTCGGACTCGACTGGCTTTCGAGCAAGGGAACATTTACCTTTACCTTATCAAAATGTTGTTTCTGTGATTTTGAGAGTACTGTCATTTTTCTGTGACATTACACCGCAACCCTAGAGTCGGACTCGACTGGCTTTCGAGCAAGGGGAACCTTACAGAAGTGAACAATTTTTGTTTTGTGAAATCTCGGTTCTCTATGGTTCCCACTGTATGGAGAAGAGGGGGGAAAGGGGAAAGGGGCAAAACAGTGATGGGGAAACAATGAAGGGGGGGAGACATGGGGGGGGGGAGATGTTGTGCTATGTTCCTTCCCAGAACATGGGTCAGCCACTGCACGGAAGGAGCAATAGTACTGTTACCTTGTCAATTGGCAGAAAAGTTCCTGGGCTGCACTTTTATTTCTTTTTTAAAATGCAAAACACTACACTGGATCTTACTCCTAAATGGCCTGTTGTGAAACTTGCCACTTTTGTTACTGGCTCCGCTGTTTTGTCTTTAACAACAGACCGGCCGGTAGAAATTCAACAGGCGAAGCTCTTGCGATCGCTTCTCTCAATGCCTGCAAAAAGCTTACCCTATTGAATGCCTGTGTCTTGGACTGCTGTTCAAGCTCTGAAGCAAGGCCACTGGATCAAGGCACACAAATGTGGACAGAGACACACACACACCCCAGTTCAAAAGGCAACAGGCCTCAAAGAATCACAGAAATGCAGCCCCACAACAGACACCCTCAGGGGGTACAACAGAATGGCAAGGCTCTTCGGGCCTCCTTTCTCCCCGCCACTCACTCTTTCTTCGGTGTCCCTGGTATACAACATCTTCCTTCTGACCAAGGCCCTCATGATTTCAGTACCCATCACAGATTTCGACAGGTCCAGAGAAGCCTCTTAAGACGCCCGTCTACTACTGCTAAAGACAGAGGTACTTCTGACCAGACTCACAGGGGGCTGGACCTGGGAGGGTTCAAGTCCTTCAGGAGGGTAAAGTGGATACACGGAAGGCAATTTCCCAAGACTGTGGGAAAGGATGGAGAAGAAACGGGCAATATTTCCTAAGCTAGAAGTTTAACAGACATTGTCAGCAATGGCAGAAGTTATCATTCCAAACTCTGGAGTTCTGTGCATTGAAGAATTATCTACTGCTTCTCATCTCGATCCAGGCGAAAAGCAAGAGAACCGAACCATTTTGGAGGGTTCAGTGCTATGCAGCAGACTTGGAAACTCTGGCTGTGAGCCCTCTGGCCACGATTCAAAGGAAGCCACGGCATCTAATCCTCTGGCATTTATGTAGCCATCAGCCCCTATCAAATTCAGCCAGACTGACCAGTAACATTATCTGGTAATGGGCCACACTTGTTTCCAAATAGGCAGCATGCACTGGATGAGTTTTTCAATTGCACTTAATTTGCACTGTAATTCATGGGACTATTCATGAACATTTGTCTGCTGAAGTACCCAGCACTGTTGCAGAGGAGTCTAGGCCATGTTTGAATCTAGTGAATATATTCAGTTCCTGTGGGGCACAGGTTCGGCTCGATGGGACTCATTTTTATCACATAGGAAGTAAGACAGTCACCCTAGAACACTTTCGGCACTCCTCTGCAACTCCAGATGTGCAGGCAGAAGATCAGCATACAAGTGGTTTCTGTTACAAAGGTTCTGATAGGTTTCTGAGAAACCTCAAGGTTTCAAGGAATGGAGTTTGAAAACCCTCACCATAAGTCAACTACTGGGACTGTCTTGATCAACCCTGTCAAGCCTCAAAGGACAAAGACAGTGAAGAAAATCCTGCAAATGTGTGGGTGGGTGTGTATACAAGAGCATCTTATCTTCCCCAGAATCAACAAACCAATGTTCCCTCTAAGCTGTGGAGTCTTGTGAGCAAAAGTTCTCCTTTGTGAGTTGCTGGCATTAAAGCTGTGAGCGAGCGATTTGGCTGCTGCATAAATTAGTTAGCTCTGGAGCCATCCTCCCTGAGCTCAGACAAAAATGTGTGAGCCGGAGGCTAAAAAACGGTGAGCTAGCTCACACTAACTCAGCTTAGAGGGAACACTGCAAATGACTAGGAAGGATACCAGTGTTTTGTTCTATCGCAGGTACTTTTGAAATTTGGCTCAGGTGATGTAACCTTTATCCCTCCCTGGGAAATCCACCCACCAAATGAGTCAGACAGACTGACGCTGGTAGGGTATAACTAGGAGAAACAAAAATTCCTAATGATTTTCAGACGTTTGCTCATGTCCCCAAACACTGGCATGCATCCTACCATTCTTCTGACTTGGCCGAGTGCTGATAGTTTTGCTCTTCTACAGCGTGACTGGCCCCTGTCTACCACCATCAACCCACCTCCCACGGATACAGAAAAGGATCCATCTCTTCTTCCTCCTATCTTTTCTTCACAGAGTTGGGGCGGGGGGGGGACGGGGGACGGAGCATTCTTCTATCCCTTTTTATCCTCACAACAGCCCCGTGAGGTAAGCTGAGAGGAATTGTCCCCAGGTGACCCACTGAACTTCTATCGAGGAGCAGGAGATCTGAACTGGGTCTCTCTGCCCTGGGACTCTAGCCCTTCCACCACAACAGCTCTCCGGACAGTGACAACTGAGCCCCCAAGCACTTGGCAGATGCCTAAAGTATAACTTAGTTAACGTCAATCGATTTCGTTGTGTTTTCAGCACCATGTGGGATCTCTGGTCTCACCTATCATTGGATTTATGCAAGACATACTATACTAGTGCCTTTCCCAGAGGCTTGTAGTACATCAGGAAAGTATTTCTTCAAAGACAGAGTTTATTGCTAAAAATGTTTTGATCAGCCATGGTTGATATGTACACTGATATGTTGCGGAAGGAATATTCAAGTAAACATTGTCAATATTTTCTGGCATAATCTCTAGCTTTCTTCTTCTTCTATACACAAACATCAAAAATAAATAAACTGTACACAAGAAATGTCTTTTAACATCCCTACATTACTATATGTATTCCAAAACAAAACAAAAAAAAACTCCATCACTCTTTTCATAAATTCCTACTTTAAAAAAATTCTCCTTAATCCATATACAATTTTTTTAAAAAACCCTAGAGAACTTTTGAAAATTAGTCTGAAGATTGCTGACAAACTCAAAAGGGAAAAAAAATTACAGGAAATAGAAATAAAACATCTTAAAAGGACTCAGAGTAGGTTGGGCATCATAAGCCATCTCTATGGGAGGGGGAATTTTCTTTTCCCAGTTGCTGAAAAGAACTGTCCAGTTACTAAAGAGTTGGGTTCAAAATGTGGTCCTGCATCACTGAATTAGTAAATAATAATAATAATAATAATAATTAAAATAAAAAACACAGTTGAAATTTTTCCCCTTTTAAAATCTCTATATTTACAAAGATGGTAAATTTTTTTTGTTAGAATGATATATATGTATAAAAATAAACATCTCATAGTGCTTAGCTTTTTCTCTGGCCTGCACTGCAGTTCCTTTTCGGGTTTTGTTTTTCCCATTTCAAATAAAATAAAATAATTATTTTTTAAAAAAACAGTGCAAGGGGCTGCTGGGGGAAAAAAAACAGAGGACAGAGAAGCGAATAAGCAACGTCTCTTGTGAATGCGTGTCCATGTTTTTGTGTGTAGGGAGTGCGAGGTGTGCCACAAGACCACCCAGTTCTTGACCGGATGATCCAATCCCTCAAGGTTGCAAGATGTCTGTCACCTGCCATATCCATCACCGACACCGGCCGGATCCTAAGCCACATCGATGGGGCCGCGTGTGTGGTTTGAAGAACTGGGCCTGCTCCACCCCATCCCAAGGCACCGAGTGGTTTCCAGCAGAAGTCACCCCAGGAGCTGAGCCACACGTAAACAGACAGAACATACGCACAGAGCACCCCAAACAGGGAGGGCTAACAGGAACATTTGCACTCTGAAATAACTGGGTACTGCACGGGGATCCAAGTGCAATATTTTTGCCTCGACCACCCTTGGCAGTACCATCTCAAGAAGGTCTTGGTGACCGATTTGACCGGCTTACAGTACATGCCCTCAGGGAAGGAGCAAGACTTCTCTGAGAAACAGTTCCCTTCCTTGATGTAACGAGGCCAGAACCGGATGCCCAAGTCCTTCCAGGTGTACAGCACCGGACAGTAGGTGTACGCCCACAGCCACTGCAGGAACTTCCTCCGCGCCTTCTTGCCCATCTTGAGTCTGGCCCCATAGGGTGTCTCGCCCAGCTCCAGCTTTTTCAGCTCATTGGGCAAGGGTCCCGGCGCCTTGACCCTGTGCAGCGGGTCAGGGCTGGAGAGATTCACCTGGACCGGGGCGGCCACGGACATGAACGCAGGGTCGAAATTGCTCCCCAGCTTCTTCCGCAAAGTCCGGTCGTCCAGATCTTGCTCCTTGGGGTCATACTCCGGGTCCGGATGCTCGATAATGTCCTTGATGGGCAGATTGTCGCTAGGGGAGGGCCTGAGCCGGAGGTAGGGCTGGCAGGAGCTGGGCTGGAGCAGCACCGCCAAGGAAGAGCAGAGCAGGAGTGCCTGGGAGGCCCTCATGCTCTCCCTGGGCCCAGCCGAGCTCTGTCCACTGGCACCGGACTTGCTTTGCCGATTGTTCCAAAGCTCCCGAGTTAATACTCCGCAGCCCGACTTGCCAAGTCCAAGGGATTCATAAATAGGCTGAGACAAAGTCCAACAAGGCCTCTCGCTTTAAATAGATCGCCAAGGGGTTATGTGACAGACGCATGTGAGGTCCCCTTCGGCGCTCCCCTCCCTGCTAAAGAGGCAAGCCGGGTGAAGAGCAAAGAGGGGGTGGCGGGTGGGTGGG